GGGATAGCTTGGAACAAGCGCTGGGCATAATTTGCTTGCCACTTTGGTCTAATATCTGCAAACTTTTAAAAACAAAGACGAGGTTTAAATACCAAATATCAAAATATCTTTTTGTGCAAAGTTTTGTAATTTGTTTACCGTAAAAAAAGAACATGCAAAAGACAATTGCAGTTTGGCTCTTCGCTAAACTGAAAGGTTTTATTTTAAGTCTTTTTTTTCTTTAAAATATATGGTATCTTCAAATTGATGAAATTTTTAGAATTCTCTCTTGCTATTTAAAATTTATTTTCTTTTTAGGTTAATCAATACAATATGTTATTCAAAATACTAAAAAGGCAGAAAAAAATAATTCTAAGCGCCAGAATTGCGACGTGGCTGACAACAGTTTTTGTAATGGACAAGCATTTTTAAATGGAAAAATATATAAATGACCCATTTAAGTTGTCTCCAATGACCTACTGAACACCTCAACTATCTCCGACCAAAAAAAGGTACAAAATAACTCCTCACAAGGGATTATGTTGCGGAAGAAATCATCTTGTGGTTTGTATTTGAGTCCTGGTCTCTAAGGTTTGCGCCCACTTTTGATCACTAGGCCAGACCCTTGGATGCAAAAATTTGTAACTGTGGGAATTGATTTAGTAGGCTATTCTGAGTTGATGATAAAGCTACTCCTTCCACTAAACAACCTCCTACAACTTATAACCATCTTCTTGAACCCACCATGGCATATACTCCATGCGATGTAAGCTCCCAGTTTCTACATCTTTTAGGATTTGATGAGAAAGTTATGACTACTAATTTATCTTATCGTCCAATGTTCTGACCTGATTCATCAATCAATGGCTAAAACCAAAAAAAATCAGTAAAACTAGCACGAGTGCAACTTATTAGCAATTCCTGAATATTCCAACTGATACCCACAATATACGGAAGTTAACAAACATAAATATTTAGTGGTCTAGATTGCAAATCGCGAGCGCTTCAGTTCTCCAGCGAGCCTCTGCTAGAATTCCTCAGCATCAGTAGTATCTGAACAACCAAAGACTGAAACCTTACAAGGAGGAAATGGATCGCCATTCTTATTAGGAAATCCTTTCAAAATTCTGGCTGTCTACATGCAATGTAATCCCATTTCTACTTCCCCAGATTTCGTAGTGGAAAAGAGCTATTGCCACATACTCTGATACAAGGTAAAAAAAGTTTACATTTGCAAAGCAAGACATAATACTAGGTCGACATTCCACATTATATAATCTTCACATAATATACAAGTGCCATGTAATGTGGCTGTAGCTAGCAGAGAAGAAGGGAAAATCTTAAAATTGTCTCAAAGGGTTTATAGGCTGAGAGGGTAATACATGGATTTGTTGTATACTATCAGACACGTCTGATATATGTGAACCAGTTACACTATGGATTGAGTGACTACCTTATTTAACGCCTCAAACTTTTAGACAAGGTACATTTTTATTTACCTAATTATACCTTCAATGCACCCCTCATTGTCATTTGACGCATACTGATTCTTTTTCATAGGTCAAACACGTGAATGACGGTAAGACTTTGAACTCACAACTTCTGCTTGCTCTGATACTGTGTTAAATTGTGTAAAGATGTGTCTAGAGCCATGTTAATGACTCAACACACTAAATTGAGAGATAGACCAAAAGCAGCTCAATAAACTAACTTGCGAGAGGAAGCCGACTTTCCTACGAGCACGAGAATGGTTGTACCAAAAGTTGTCTTGATACCATGTTGAACTCCATGTACCACCTAAAAGTTTTAAGTCTTTAAAGAAGCACACTTTTATTTACTTTCTTGTATCTTCAACATAGACTTCCTTATATATATTTCTCAAGGAGCAGCAAAGGGAGAAGCAAGGTACAATGCCTAAAGAACTGCACTAAATCACAAGAGTTTGTAACAACAGTATTTAGGTCCATTTTTCATATTTGAAATAACTGATGGATTTTATGGTCAAATGTCCATAAATGATTGGTTCTCTTTCAAAGGCTAAATAAGTTGATCTCTCATTTGATAAAATTTCTGTCTTCTTATCCAATGGACAAACTATTTCAAGGCAAAGAATACAAAGGAAGAGCAAAGCAACAAAATTTGAAAGAAAAAAAGAAGAAGAAGAAGAAGAGAGTGAAATTCGGTTAATCCCAGTATTGGGCAGAGCACTGGTAATAGAGCTAGCCATGATTTTTCATTAATAGGAGGATTCCGATACAAGCAGCAAGAGAAATACAATTACCATCTTCACAAGCCTTCAAGAGTGTACTGCATTTTCAAGAATGAAGAAAATAAAAAGAACAAAAAAGCAGCTGAAAGAAAATGAATCCATCTTTTATGAGGATTTGGAAATGAGGGACATGAATTCTATCATGGGTTTTAAGTTATTAGGGCAGAAGAGGGAAGGAAATGTACCTGATCTACAAACACAATATTTGTCGCCAAATAATATCTCTGACATGGAATCCAGAGGTTTTTTGTGAGGGACTTATTGGACTCAAGACCATGCTGAGGTTGATCCAGTCGGAATGGAAGCAGAAAGACCAAGTAATGGTGGCTGCCTGATCATGCTCGTCCAAGGACTACCACTCCAGACCTAGTTATGTGGAAGATCGTGTAGCTGGTGGCACCTGGTGACAGGCTGGTGAATCCCTGGTTTATGGAGGTCCTGGGTGATGGCTCGGAACCCTTTATAGGAAAGTTACAGCACTAGGCAGTGCCAGAACTAAAGGAACCAACGTAGAAATAGATCCACAGAGCCTTCACCAATTTATAATTGCTTATCAAAAAAGACTGCGATTAGTATTTTTGGGGCTACTAACATCTTAGTAGCCAGAGCAAAAGAGAGTAATAATATCGCAAGTAATAAGCCAAACATACGAAGGACGGGCTAATCTACCTTCATGCAGACATAGCTCCATTCCTTGTCACAAACTAAAAACTTAGTGTAAAATGTGGTTTTCCCACACATGAAAGCAGGATATTCTTGGAAATACATTTTGGTGAGCAACAGGTTTCCTGCTGTAGATTTGTGTTCAACTAAGAGAATAGTGACCTCCAAGCAAGAGGAAAGTCATGAACAATCCACTGCTTTCACTTCCATCAATTTATAAGTCCTGAACTGTAATCTTGTGCACCTCTATTCGATTTCTCACCAATACCATTTTAACATTTTGCTAAATTCAAACACATTTTCTCTCCTTGCCAAAAAAGTCGGATTGTTAAATAAAATACTCATCATATTACTTGAATTCTTACATTGTATTGTATCGCTCCTCCTGATCTATTTATGTATATCAAAATCCAACTTAGCAGGCAACAGCTTTTGGATTCTCCATTCTAATCCCAAGCCGGTCCTGGATCTCACATCAAATCATGCTTTACATGCTTACATCTAGGTAAAAATTGAGCAATCTCATCAGTCGTTACTTTACTACTCAGACAAGTATACAGCACATTCTAGGAAAGGTCTAAACATTTCAAGCCTTAGATAAAGGCTGGCAGTGTTTGTAGATTTTGTTGATTTACCATTGAGAGGAAACAGTAATCAATATGGTACTCTGCCAGGACTGCAGGTAGAAATCATGGCCACCTCGGCCAAGGTGGCATACATATTAGAGAGAAACCAGCAGTGTAACGTAGTACTGAAGAAAGCAATGATAACTCAAGAGGAAAAAAGAATGAGAACAGATATAAGCAACAGCTTTAAACTCAGTAGATATCGTGGGGGATCACAAAACTATTTCCACTGCCCCACCCAAGTCCTATACTAAATGAGTTTTCATCCATCTTGATGACAGATTCAAAAAAACTAAAAGAAGGATTTAATGGTATTGGGAGGGAATGCTTGTGAGTATTGGATAAAAAATGTATATTTTAACCAGTCAAGATCGATACTGCAGTGTACCAATGACATTAGCACTTCTTCGCCATAATCTGTTGGAGCTAACTCATATTTTATCGATAAGGGATTCTTTCTTCCCTCAAATTGGAAAAGAAATCAAGGAAATAAAGATTTTCTTTGGATTATCATGGTTTTGCTTGCCACTTTTTCTAATCTGTTGGATAACATGACAAAGACCAGGCAATAATTTTTCATATTCTTTTAGTCTGTATTTCTTCTGCTGGTGTGTGGGGGAGTGAAAAAGGCAGAGAACATCCCAAATAAAGAAAGTATTGTGAGAAGAGAAACAAACCCCTCTAATTTCCATTATCTTCTTTATAGTGAAAAAATGCATGTCATAGCAGGACTTATAAACAGAGTGGAAAATACCATCTCTCCACCAATCAAGTTTTCAATTCAGGCACATAATCTGATTGGATATCTTATTTTGTCACAAACTTCAACAAGTACGCCTCAAATTCTGCCAAAAACTCCAGTAATTTATAGAAAGGTAAAATGCAGTATCAATCATAGATACATTCAAGTGGTAGCATTACAGTGTATACTGTGTCATTGCGTATTCCAAGTGATGAAGTCGCAGTAACCTGGAAGACAAAGAGGGCATTTGTTGATTAAAACCTCTGAATAAAATCATAAATGTGGGAATTTATTTCATCAGGCTTTTCTTGGTTGATGAAGTGACCTACTCCCTCCATTACAACAACCTCCTGCAAATTAGGCACTTCTTTCTTGAAACCACCATTGTGTATATACTCCTTGGTTCCAGGAACATGATACGTGTGTCCAGATCACCAACCACAAACTTAGTAGGAACTTGAATTTTGCATCCACTAAATGGTGCTGTAAGCTCCCAGTTTCTGCATTTAAAGAATAGATTTAAGAAAATTTGAGCGTACAATTATTTCCACTCTCAATGTACTACGACTAGAATCATTACATAACGGCTAAAATAAGGAAAATCAGTAAAGACACAAGCAGCTGAGTAAGTAATAGGAACACGAGAAATCCATGGATTCTCTGGTTGATCCTAGAACAGTTAAATGGTATACATACTTGTCCAGATTTCGGTAGTAGTTCAATCCTCCAGTGAAGCCTGTTTCTTTTTAATTTTTCAGCAAAATAATGCACATCTTCTTCTGTTATCCATGAGGGTAATGTCGCTGGTGACTTAGCTAAGGCCTGATGAAAGCCTATCTCCTTAGGAATGCAAGGTGGGCGTGGATCACGTGAAGAAAGAAATCCCTTAACGACTGTTGCAGTATCAACAGAAGCAAACTCCTCTTCCACTTCCCCAGGTTTCTAAATATAATAGCAGCATCAGTAAAACCAGAAAAGCTTACTACTGTGAATTCAAACACAATCTGCGTTGATCGAATTGCATTGCAGTATTTTCACATTAACAAATTACAATTACGTGAAAATTAGTGGCACTTGATGTTATTGTAGGAAATATTAAATCTCTTAAAAAGGGTTTTACTAGCCAAGTGAAGAAATGAAGTTTGATCAAATATATGCAGCCTCTAAATCTTCTAAGTGTGCATCTGTCATATTTCCTTTGTTTAACCACTCTATTCAAGGAAAGGCATAGAAAGAAAAGTAAAGCAGTCATACGAAGGGTAATAGCAATCAGAAAAGGTCCAATAAGCATCAGAGAAATATGCTGAACTCTAGCAAGCACCAACCATAAAATTTAAGAATGAAACTGTATTTTACTTCACCAGGAAACATTGAAAAACCCTCTAATCACAGAAAGACCATCCAAGAGGAAACCAGGAACAAAAGTAAACGTGACTCTTAAAACTAAGATGAGCTTCAAAAATGTCATTCAACTGCTTTCCCTCTTCACTTGGAAAAGATAAAGTGGCCACTATCTTGAAAACGAGAGCTGTCAAAAATCACTAAAGAAGAATTTACAAACTCAGGGTAGAAGAACTCATCAAACAAATCATGTTAAGGAGCCCTAGTATCAATATCATAACTAAAATCCAAATACAATTTTAGGGAATAGGATTCATCTGCTTTCCATAATTGAAATAACTGACCAAATTGACTAGATATAGTTGTTCATCAACGTTCCTATTTCTGGATCCAAGTATTTATTTATGCAAATAATTTACCAGGGAACCACATCACTTATTCCTGTTTGGCTTGTATACCGGATTCAACTTTAGCTACTAAAAGAAAAAGAATTGCACAAGTGACCAAAGATTTTGCAGAACTGAGGAGACCGATAGCATATATCCATCACACTAGCTTAACTTCAACACAAATAAAAGTTCCACTTTTTCTTTCCCGACTAAATAAACTGCCAAGAAGAAGTAACCAAAAAAATAAACCGCTGCTTAATAAATCAACTACGGCTTAACCCTGAACCAATTGAGCTAAAATCTGCAATTACGAAAAAAACAATGAAGAAGAAAGCAATTATACCTGAAATCTGCACACATAATAGTCATCACCAAACAACTCTCGCAAGCTATCCACCGGTTTTCGTGAAGGGTGTCTTGGACGGAACACAACACTTAGATTAACCAAAGCCTTAATTCGATCAGGACGAAACAAGCTGAAATACCAAGCAATTAGAGCACCCCAATCATGTCCTACTAAGAACACTTGGTCTAGACCCAGAACATCCAAAAGAGCAACTAAGTCTCCAACAATATGAAAAGCAGTGTAATGTGTAGCATCTGGTGGAGAATCAGTGTCACCATAGCCACGAAGATCAGGAGCCATGGCTCTGTAACCTTTTTTAGAAAGGTACAACATTTGGTGGCGCCATGAGTACCATAGTTCAGGGAAGCCATGTACAAATACAACTGCTGGGCCTTCACCTATTTCTGCTACGTGCATGTTTATACCATTAACGGATACGTATTTGTGCTGTATTTTCTCCATTTTCTCTTGCTTTCCTTGTTGCTGCTACTTTCCCAATCTTTTTCTCCGAGTATCAGTATATTTAAGCTTTTCAGAATGAGTTTAACTTGCGCACCAGTTAAAAGATGATAGATTGTTATAATCATTGATAAATATAAATATATTTTACTGACAAGCATTAATATGATG